CCTACTGTGGATGGAGGAAATCTTGCATCACCCTATTTTGCCGAATAATGGTAATTACAGTACTTTGCACATACTCAGTGGTGCAAGATTTCCTCCATCAACCGTATTGAGTGTTAGCTGGTATGTAGCTATATCAAAATCCATAAGGCCTGAATGGTGACCCTCATCATCTCCTCGTACTCACTTCCCCCCTAAGACAGAACGCGCCCCGACCGCCAAATAATACATATTCCCAAAAATAGTACCACTATATAATGCACAGGACATTCAAATTAAGGGCTGGGGTGTTGTTCTTGGGAGGGAAGTGATGAATTTAGCAGTTCCACGACACCCAGTCTTCAGGAGGGTTTTCAGCAAGAAGCTAGGTAGGTTGATTATGGAACGCTAGTCTTCTGAATAGGTGTAATGATAGTTTTTAAGAAGCTATAGGATGTGACCTGATTCTACCTTGGGCTTTTCCCTATACCTAGCGCTACACCCTATCAACCACTATATAGCTTAGTGATCAAAGTTTCCATTTCATTTTCCATGTTCCTTTCAACCTGATTCTCCATTAACTGGTTATAGCCCGGGATGGAACTATGGGCCCTTTATCTCGAGGTACTTGTTAAAAGCGAGTTATGTACCCTGAAAACCACTACAAGCCCAATTAGGGGCCCATTGTTTGTTTGTTTGTTTGTTAGGACACACGAAACAGGTATGGGCCCAATATTAGGCACCCGCGGTTACGAACTTATTATACCCCTAGACCCTGAACCTTAAACCTTGAACCCACCTATCTAGCCCATATATTAAGGGTTCGTCTTTAGTAGCCTAAGTTCTTTCCTGATATAGGCCCAACCTTAACCCAAAACCCTAGACCCTAAACCCCAAACCTAGTAACTGATATAAAGTCACAGGAACCAGAGCAAAGCCCAAAAACTCGAAACTCACACCTGACCCCCTCTGAACGCCCAAAGCTCTATGTAGAGATCTGTGTAGAAGTTGTAAAGATGTTTTACAAAGGATTTATAGGGATCTATACAGGGAATCTATTGGGATCTTTTGAGTCCATGCTTAGGGATATCTGAGCGAAGGTTTCCCATTTTTTAAACTCCTGGGTAACAATAAAATTGACGCCAGAGCCTTTACCCCGAACGCTGCAGAATAAAACATGAACCCTGAAACTGTAGAGCCCCAAACCCTAAACCCTAAAGCCCCAAAACCTAAACTCGGATCCCTGAAAACCTCAAACCCTAACCCCTGAAGACTTAAATCCTTAATCCTATAAATCTAAACCCTATACCCGCAACCCAGACCATATACCCTACGCCATAATATACCCTCCAAAAGCGCGCCATGTGTAGAAACCCCTACATCATCCCATAGATGACCCCATAAAACCCTTATGTAATCCGTATATAATCCCTATATTGTGCCGGAAAGCCCAGTTCCAATGCAGCAACGTCTTTTGCACGATCCTGCCGCTGAAAAGCTTGGGGTTTAGGGTTTAAGGTTCAGGGTTCAAGGTTAAGGGTGTAAGATCTAGGGTTCAGGCCTCGTGGGATTCACGGTTCAGGGTTTCAAGTTTCCAGTTTGGAGCAGGGCCTTCCAAAAGGGAAATCATATTCCAATATTCCCTACCAAGCCTAAACCTAAACCCTAAACCCTTAAGGGTATTTGAGAGTCCCAGGTAAATTCTCGAAAAGCTGTAGGCCCAACCCCTGGACCTGGTGCAGAAGCACCTTTGGTTTCGCTTTGGGAGTTTAGGGTTTGTTGAAGGGTTTGGGGGGTTAGGGGTTTAAAACCCTAAATCCTAAACCCTAAACCCTAAACCTTAGGATTAACGGTTTTTGGGGCATAGGGTTTAAGTTTTAGGGTTGGTGATGCACGCTGGGCAAATCCAAGCATTTCAAGCTTATGGTTTAGGGGATTCTGATACTGGTCCTTAGCCAAGCTCTAAGCCCAAACCCACAGCGGTCATTTTGTTTAGGGCTTATAACTTGAGGTTTTGAAGTTTAGGGTTTGTGGCTTCGAGTTTAGGGTATATGTTTATGGTGCTTGAAAAGCCCTAAACCCTAAACCCTAAACCCTAAACCCAACCCCTAAACCCTATCATTGTCGAAGATGTTTCAGGGACTTGGACCTGGGCTGGAGGTCGAACTGTTGGGATGCTGTTGCTCCAGGCCTTGAGTGAAACTTCAGATGAGCTAAGGGTTGGAGGTTAGGGCTTGGCTTTAGGGTTTAGGGTTTAGGGTTTAGGGTTTAGGGGGGTAGTCTAAACTCCTAGTATCCTCCTTAATAACCCCTATAGTAGTCCCCTATATAATCCCCTATATATGCCCCCTTTAAGGAGTTTAGACTGTAGCTCAGATGCTTTCCTGTTGAGACCGCTAAGATCGCGATATAGAGTAACCCCATAAACTTCTGTGGGCGCTTTCGGAACCAGATTCTGCTTTTCATGTACTCGGACAGAATAGGATCCACATCAAGAAAACTTCATATCATAGACCCATGTGCCTCAACTCCTAGTGCAGTACACCAGTCTTATGGGCTTCAAGATTTCAAAGCTGCTGCGAGTAAAGAGCTTGAAAGAATCTGAGATTTATGTGCTTACGGTTTAGGGTTCAATTTCTGCAAGACTCTGCAGTACCGGACTGTTGGGAGGCACTTCGTAGGGAATAAAGGAATGGATCTCTATAGAGTCCCTATGTAACCCCCCTTGACAATGATCCCTAAACTCATTCCTGAACTCTCTCCAGATTCAGCTCTAGAGCCTTACGTAGGCCCTGGAAGTATGACTCATCCAATGAACTCCCAACAGAATGTCAGGTAGACTTAAGTTGCAGACTTCAGTATCTGGGCTTTACAGCTGCATGGCCTTTGGAAGGATTCGACGTCAGGGCGATGCCAGTAACCTGGCCGTCTATGTGTCAGTCATTTTTTGAGATGGGGGTACCCTTAAGGGGGCGTTGGGGCCTTGGGCTTGGGGTAAAGCTTTTGAGTGTGTGTGCAAATATATATATATATATTTAATATAATATACACACAAATACATGTGACGTGCTCATAAGAAGCTGCACCGGCGATCCTGTCAGCAGATTTTGCATTGCAGAACACATCACTTTGTTTTGTGTCCAATTTTCCTCCATCGCGTGAAGGATTCACGGGCCTTTTGTGCAGTGTTGTTGAGACCTTCTGCTATGCTTAGCCCTATAGGGCTCCAGTTACCTAAATGATGGGAACTGGGTTCTATATACCCTATAGTTCCATGGCCCAGTAACCTACTATTTAGGTAACTGGAGCCCTAGGGTAGTTGTATGGGCAAGGGCAAGCGCTCTTCGGGACCACCCGCTTTGACATCTATTTGTCGCATGGCTCTAGGAGCGATTCATGTACAAAGAAAATTTCTGTATAGTTCCCTAAGATTCCAAGGACCCAAATAATAGGGTCCCTTTAAAGGGGTCATAGGGGGATATAGGGATGTATGGGGACTATATAAGGGTCCAAGGACCCAAATAATAGGGTTTCAGGGCCCAAATACTATGCTATTAATGGTATTTGGGCCCTAAACCCCTATTATTTGGGGTCCTTGGACCCTTAGGGGTTGAGTGCATCCTGACTGTGGATGATGAAGTGTTGGCCCGGCTCCTGCATGGTCTATGCGAGATCCCCGCAGGGATCCTGAAAATATGAAGGGACTAGAAGGGCATTAAGTATGGGACTGCTATGTGTGGTTTTCTCACTCAAGATCCAAGTATCCATATGTACGTAGATCCCCAGGGTGCTGCGTGGATTCTAGGTTCCCCAGTAACCTGTTTAAAGAAGGAGACCCAAAAATACAAAGGGCAAAAGGAGACTACCGGGTACCTAGGATTTGATCGCCTAATGATTTGTAAGGCCGGGCAAGCATTCAACGTTAACCCCCCACCAACACATTCACTCCCCAAATACACCTGATTACCCGATAGGGTACCTCTTGGGGGAGTCCCTATAATGAGATTTATAGTATTTTAGGGTCTATATTGGGGATCATAACGCAACGCACCTTTACAAGAAACACACAAAAGAACAGGACAGCAGTTCAACATGGAGCCTGGACGTCGCGCCCAAACGCCTCTACTGCAGGTGTGCCCAAGACGACATTGTCATTGGCTTCTCCTGGGCTGTTGGTTGAGAACGTTGTTGTTGCCGACCCTGGGTATTTTATACACAACAGACATATTTCATAGTATACTACTGTAATTACATTAGAATATTATCACATGAATTATTACAACATACTTGAAAACGATAGCGACAAATACCGTTCCACCAGCTACCTTGCGGCTAATGGGAATGGAGGAAGGGAAAATAAAATGGAAACAGCTACACGACTGAAAGTGTAGGGAACGCAAAAGAAAAATGAAATGGACACTTAGGTTCTATAAGGGTATATGGGGGGAATGGAAAAGAAAATGGAAACTACTATACCATTGGGGGATATATAGAGGCTCCATTGGGGGCTATAAAGAGGCTACTATGGGGATTCACGCCTCCATCCCCTGCTAACAACCAGTAAGATGCTTCCTCACTCTCCGCACAAGGCCATGGCAACCAATTCTAAAGGAGGTCTAAATTTAGGATTTGGCCCAAACCCCACATGACAACAACCATGAACAAGAACATAGCTGTAAAATCATGACAGCAATGCCTGCAAGAAAACAAGCATGAACATTGAGACCGCTCATACCTCACATTGCTATTCAGGCCTAATGCGAATTCCATGCTTGTTAACACTCCCTCCAGACAAACGTGGAACCTAGCTTAACACCCATCTAAAGGGACGGTAGACCTCAATGCACCTTTTTGGCGGTTCCAGGTTTTTTCGGCGGATGGTACACGATACGAAACACTGAGGGTCCAAGGACCCAAATAATAGAGCTTTAGGGCCCAAATACCATTAATACTGTAGTATTTGGGCCCTAAAGCCCTATTATTTGGGTCCTCCCTTAAGGTAAGCCTCTAAGCCCCATGCGCAGGTCGTATGTTGCCCTGTTGCGTCAGCTCCCCAAGCTCGGCAACTCCTGGATGCAGCTTTTGGACCCTGCTCTGGGGCAGTCTTAGGGGGGGTTATAGGGGGGTTATAGGGGGGTTATAGGGGGTTATAGGGGGGTTATAGGGGGTTAGAGGGGTTTAGGGTTTAGGGTTTAGTTTGCCAGTTCCAGGACTTATAGGGTTTAAGTTAGATAGGCCCCCCGTTCTGGTAACAGTGTCGAAAAGGAATATAAGAGGACCCTAACATCATCACCAGTATCCCTGGTAGTCACCATTACTGGGTGGGTCCACCTCAGGTTTAAGGTTCCCTGGTCCACAAGGTTTTAGACTCAGGTCTCATAGGATGTGTAGTTCAGCTTCTGTAGTCCGGCAGGACACCGGTTGGTGTTTTTATTTCCGAGGCGGCTAATTGCCAAGGCCCACCCTCTGAGTAGCCTCAATTGGGGTCATCATCCCCCCTCATAGCGGAGATTGCGGCCATAAGAGATGGCAGTTGGAGGGTGTAGGCAGATGTCTCCCATCTCGACTCCAACCACCATTCTTAGTCTTGCCTGGTATGTATGCACCACATGACAATGCAAAGGACTCCGCCTTTTTGCATTTTCACTGCGACTCTCAGCTCTTTGTTTGTACTGCCGCGACCGCTCAGAGATTGACTCAGAACAGTGTTTTTGCCAGTACGATTCGTTGACTCTTCCTCTTCCTGATCTTCCTTCTCACTCTCCACTGCTATCGTCTTATGCACCCTACACCCCTAAACCCTCAAAGCCCTAAGCCCCCTCAATCACAGTACCCTCGATGTAGCCCGCAGACTCATGAGTCCATAAGGGAATCCCTTCTCAGAAACTCCCATACCTGGAGGTTCATAGTTAAACATGCCGATATAAGCATGACCACTCTTTTTTTGTTTTACTAGTTTCGGCCTTCGTTAAAGGTCCAAAAACACAAGCCTCCAAGTTTTCTTACCCTAAACCCTAAACCCTGAACCCTGAACCCTAAACCCTGAACCCTACCCTAATGACATTGGCAGGATAACACCCAATGGCTCATCCTCAAGGCGCAGGAGCTGTGGCCGCAGCACCAGCAGCAGGCTTTGCCTGGGGGATATAGGGGGTTGTAGGGGAATATAGGAAGACATAGGGGGTTGTAGGGGGATACAGGAAGATATAGGGGGTTATAGGGAGACATAGGGGTTACATAGGGCCTTCGAAAATTGGGGTACTCTGAGGGTCTTATGTACATAGGGAATGTTTATGCCGGGCTCAGGTGTCTTCGTTGGTAAGCAACTGTTGGCTTCAGGCAATTTTTGGGCCTGGACCCTGGCTAAGATCTTTGCACAGAAGAAAGACATAATGATAGGATAGGACCGATATAGAACTTCGGCTGATGGTCGCCAGGTGGAAAGCAGACCATTCTCATGGAATCCTGTAGGAATCCTGCAAGTAATTACTGCCGATTTTCCACGCTCTCGAACTGGGCTTGGTGTGTGGAGTCCCATGTCAGCAGTGTTCCGTCTGGATTGACATCCCACACTCAACGCAGAACGGCATCCGGGACTCGCAGCTGATCTCGACGCGATGATAGGCTGCAAGCTCAGTCGGTGTATAGCTGTGGAGGCTACATTAACATGCAAAGTTTGCAAGCAGAGGAAGCACGAGTCCAGTCATGGACACAGCATGGAATCCCCAAGCTTGCACCATTGGCCGGAGGTTGCCAGTTCGGTAGCCCCTGACCTGCAGGATCCGACTTTAAGAGCACAGACGTCAGAGAGCGCTTCACAACGACGTGGGTGGAAGGCTTTGTAGGCCGTTTCCTAGCATGGAGCGTAAGTTTCGCGGCTAATTACGCCTCCACCTGCAGGAGTCTCACTTCAAAAGTTGCAGGACTGCATCCTCCGTTTCATGCCCTCGGATCCTAAAAGAGCGTCGGCCATGAGAATCAGAGGTCTTTGATTCACTTGAGTAGTATTTTATTTGGGGATACTATGGTACCCATTATAGAGAAAGATTCTATCCTCCTTTTGGGGTATAGTATTTTATATAAGGAATATAATCGTACTGGGTTCAACCACCAAAAAAA